TGGCATATGTTCTGTATCAGAAACTAGAGCTGATTTATTTATTTATCATATCAGAAGCAAACCAAGGGTACATTGCTTCTGGTCGCTTCTAATGTGAGAGAATCAGCTGTCTACAAAGACGTGGCCCAGGGGACACCCAGATGTGTTGGAATCCTGCGGGGAGGCTTCATGTCCCCCACTAGATCTGATGTGGTCTATCCAATATAATTTTCTTAATTGTCACCTCAAATAATCAAACCAAATCCAAAGTTGACCAAAAACTGATTCGTAACCCTTTTGGTACTAATGTTAGAGAGTGTTCCCTGTCCAAAGTGGTCCCTGGTCAGGTGGTCCCAGGTCAAAAAAAGATTGGGAACCACTGCTCTAGCCTCACTCTGCACAATAAAAAGAACAACCCTACAGTAGCCACCTCAAAAGGAGAAGCAGCTTTGGCAGCTGAGTAAAGTGAGAGGAGAAAGTGAGGAGGAAAACAGTAATTATCGTCTTGCGTTGTTTATAAAAGTGCCTAAAATATACTGAGGATTGTATAAAAATAACTGCAACCAGTCATAGTTCAAAACAAATGAGACATGCGAATGAAGGCCTTGGAGAGAAAATAGAGAGAATGTTCATGCTTTTACTTTCTCCTTGACCCTGCTGTTGTAGAAACACCATACCAATGTGTATATGCTAGAGCGCAAGAAATGACAACCTTTTTCTCACCTTCCTGCAAATGTTGTCACGGTGCCAAAAAAGCAAAGTTATAAAGTGCAATATGTGCAAAATTAGGTACTTTCTCCCTTGAAAATAACATAAAGAGAAAACTAAATGGGTAGCTCTAAAATGTCTGGATGCAAGAGAGAACAGGGCTTCATTCTACTACTACTATTATTATTATTATTATTATTATTATGTAACAGAATTTCAACAGGTACAGCTTTTTCAATCTTGCCAAACCAGACAAGACAATCCAGGGAAAGCCCTGTGGATGTTGCTGGACAGCAACTCTCATTGTCCTCCAGTAATAGCTATTAGACATGTACATGAAATTCGTTCCTACCATTTTCACAGTTTCTTTCGTGTCTTCTGTTTATTTGGAAGCATGAAACGGGAAGCCCCCTCCCCACACAAAAATCAGCTTGACAGGAAAGCCTGCCTACAGGTATGTGTGGTCGGGTGTTCAGGCAGGCCCGGAGTGGGCTTGCAGCTGAGGGCCTCTTACTCTAGAGCAGGGATCTTCAAACTTTTTAAACAGAGGGCCAGGTCAAAGTCCCTCAAACTGTTGGAGGGCCGGATTATAATGTGAAGAAAACATGAATGAATTCCTATGCACACTGCACATATCTTATTTGTACTGCAAAAAACCTTTAAAACACTACAATAATTAAAATGATGAACAGTCTTAACAAATATAAACTTATTAGCATTTCAATGGGAAGTGTGGGCCTGCTTTTGGCTGATGAGATAAGATTGTTGTTGCTGTTGTGTGCTTTCAAGTTGTTTCAGACTTAGGTTGACCCTGAGCGAGGGCCGGGTAAATGACCTTGGAGGGCCATATTCGGCTCCCAGGCCTTAGTTTGAGGACCTCTGCTCTAGAGTAAGAGGCACTCAGCTGAGGGCACCAGCAGGCACACACACTTTCTGGGCCTGCCTGCATGCTCCCCACATACACACTCTCGGAGAGTGTGGCAGGGTATATGTGGTGGGGTGTGCAGGCAGGCCCAGAGTGGACCTGCAGCTGAGCGCCTCTTACTTTAGAGTAAGAGGAGCTTGGCTGCAAGCACTGGCAGGTATGCACTTTCCGGGCCTGCCTGCATGCCCCGCCACGCACACACACTCTTTCCAAGAATAGTGTGTATGTGGCGGGCATGCAGTCAGGCTTGGAGAGCGTGAGCCTGCCAGAGCCTACAACCAAACACCTCTAACTCTAGAGTAGAAACAGTGGGTGCCAGGTAAGAAGAACATACACAGGGGTAAGGGGAGCCCCCCCCCCCATCTGCTTTTCCTAACTTCAAAATGAAAGAACTGAAAACAACCTTCCCAATTTCAGGAGGCTTATAACAAATAGATCAGGGCCCCCAACAAAAGCCAGGACACAAAATGGGGCAAGGTTTTCCCTGAATTCACATGACTAATAATTATGCTTACTCAGGCTAATAGGAGCTGCAGTCCAAAAAACATCTGGAATACAATAGTTCTTCATTTCTGCTGTAAAAAAAACCTTTTCACTCTACACAGTTATCTACATAACCAGATCTCTTTCTTGTTTGGGCACCTTAGGTAGCTATCTGAACCAGGATATCTTTTCTTCTTTTTAAAACAAGGGTATGTGTCAATCCTATTTCCCAAGAGAACTCCCCAGCTGCAGATGGGAGGATCCAAATGTGCTCAACAATACATTCCCCTACCCTTTTTCTCAGGCACTGTGATCTTCTGGGAACTCCAAATGTGGGCAACCTACAGCCTAAGACCATATGCAGCCCTTAGCCAAATTAAAAACAAACTTTCTACAAGTGATCAGATCTCTTGTGAAAATGATTTTCCTTGTTTAGTATCCTGCTGATCAGAGAGGAAATTGAAAAGTGAGGAGATTTCAGGGGGAGGGAGAGGCGAAAACAAATTCCCAGCCAAGCAAGGTTCCCTAGCATTATTATTATTATTATTATTATTATTATTATTATTATTATTTCTGGTATTTCTACTCTTCTCTACCTCTGAAGGGGGACTCAGGATGGCTTACATTTTGGCAGCGATTCGATGCCACTATGATGCAATGCTTTAAGATCCTAGCATTGCAAAGATTCACACCTGTATTTAATTCCTCTGTATCAAAAAGAAGAAAAAACAGTTTCAGAACTGGTTACTTTTTAAATAGGACCTTTGACATAGTTAATAGGAAAAAGACACAAGTCACTCCCTGCTACTACCTTTGCAATTTTACAATACAGTAAATAAATATGTGTATTCACTTTTCCACACAAGAGTGTTCCCCAGTTATATCATAGAGTTCCTGCATTGATGGGATTTAACTATGTGATCTTTGGGGTACTTTCCAGCTCAGATTCTCCCAAGCAAAGAATGGCAAACGCATGGTTGGGGAAGATGAAAACCAGCAGGTCGTTCTGCTCTTTATATTTTGTGAGGAGTTCTTATGAAGCTGTGTTCTCCCATTCCCAACCACAGCGATCAACCATTAATGTTTCTAGTTAAAGGCAAACAAATTCTTTTTAGTACAGATGCCAAGCCATATGTGGTGGTACATATGTTCACATAAGGATTCTGGTTCCATCTTTAGTAGCAGGACTGTGAAAGAACCTTGCCAGAAGTACCAGAAAACAAAGCTGGCCATTCTTGGCAGTTTGGCTTCCAATAAATACAAAAAAAATATCAAAATCTCCAATTCCTACCACCTTTCTGAATGTGTGGTCATCTGTTCCTGGAAGGCATCATCAAAGTCTTCAGTCTGGCTTGGAGGTCTCTAGTAGACCCACACAATGACATCCCTATTTCGTCTTAATTTTTGCCTAGATACTCTCAACCTGACTTCCAGGATTAAATCGTGGATCTCTTCACAGTTGTAGACATCCTTGATATATAATGCCTCTCTTCCTCCTCCTTTCCTGTTTGTTTCTCAGAAATAGCATCAGAGCAGTCTCTGGCTGCCACAAAAAATGCGTTCAAGAGTGTTTTTCAGACCCAGTTCACTGAAATAACATTTTGTAGTGAAATCTGACAACAAGTCATGTCTGGGTTCTTTCGTCATTTTATATACTGAGCAAACTAGAAATATATTTTGAAAATCTGCACATTGTTTGTATAGAGCAGTGCTTCCCAACCCTTTTGTTTAACCAGAGACCATTTTGACCAGGGGCCACTTGACTGGGGACCACTTTGACCAAGGACCACTCTCCAACATTAGTACCAAGAGGGTTACGAATCAGCTTTTGATCAACTTTAGATTTGGTTTGGAGTGCCGATTCAGAAAATTGCATTGGATAGACCACATCAGCTCTTGTTTCTGATACAAAACATATGCCATGGTCAGTGAGAGGGAAGGAGTGGCAGGCGGTGCAAAAGGAGTGGAAATAAAATAAATAAATAAATAAAGAGGAAAGAGGCTTGTGGACCAGTTTTTCGTCCTTGCAGCCCACTGGTGGTCCGCGGCCCACAGGTTAAGAACCATTGGTATAGAGCAAGGAGTGGCAGAGTGCAGCCCTTGAGTTATATTTGGATACAGATACCCTTGAGTCCAATGATGAAGAATTCTGGGACTTCCAGTCTAATATCTTGACCAAACTCTTGATGATGGGGGTTTGAGGAGCTGTAGTCCAAAATTGCAGTCCAAGTTCTGTTCCAGAGCTAGGCGATCAGTAGCATTACATCACATGAAAATCAGAATAGCAACAGAAAATCTTATTTTCATCTCTTCTACTTAGTGAGGATATCCAAGGTAAAGCAATGTGTGTGCATGCCTTCAAGTTGCCGATTGACTTATTGTGACTCTATTAATTTCATAGGGTTTTTTTTTAAAGGCAAGAAATACTCTGAGGTGGTTTTGCCTATTCCTCCCTCTGAACTGTGGCCTGCAGCAATTAGTACTTGTTGGGGGGGTCTCCCATTGAAGTGCTTACTATGGTTCACCCGACTTAACTTACAACATCGCACAGCCTCTGGAGCCTTCAGAGTGGTGGTTCCCAACCATTGGTGCCCTGGGCATTTTGGACTTCAACTCCCAGAAATCCTAGCCAGCTTGCCAGCTGTCAAGAATAGTGGAAGCTAAAGTCCAAAACACCTGCAGGCTCAAAGGTTGGGAATCACTGCTTTAGACTATTCAGCCCCTCTGAAGATGAAGCATTATCTAAGGCAATTTTGTAACTTTGCCTGAGCATGAGGCACGGAGTTCATTGTGCTTTTTCCTGCAGGTTGGCAACCAACATCTGTCTCACCTCTGAAGTCTCGGCAGTTTTCAGACTGTCACAGCTTGGATGCCTCATATTTTCTCCCCTCTCTGTCTTTTCCAGCATGTCTTATGGCAGGAATCCAGGATCAAGGCATCTGACCTGAGTTTCCCACTGTGGCTCTTGTGACCTGCTGCCCCATCTGTTAGCCAGCTCCCACACTGGTAAGAGGTAAAACAAGAGAGAGAAAAGAAAGGAAGAGAGAGAGAGAGGAACAGGCGGAAGAAGAGTCCGTGGGATTAACATTAATCCTCCAGCTTTGCTCACTTCCAGCCAGACAAGAACAGCTACCGGTTTAGCAACAGACTCCTTGGTCACTCCTTTAACCTCTACGCAGGAGGCAGACTGGGATTCCCATCTACACTCATCCTTTCTGCTTCTCTGGGAGGCCAGACAGGGCAGGAAACAAATCGGCTTGGTGGCTTCTTGAAAGCAGAAGAGAAAAGCTACCAAGGAGCTAAGTCCCACCCTCTGCAGGAAACCCAGAGGTTCCTTGACAGGTCAGTCTTGATCCTTTTATAGTAGCCCAGAAGATAAGGGGCTGAAGAGAAGGACCACCAATGGGGGGATCCAGAATCACCTCCACTCACTGACCTATATATACACAGAGAGACAAATCTGGACTGGAGGCTCCCATTTCAGAAGGACACTGTGGAATTTATGAGACAAGGGTTTCTGCAAAGAAGCCAGGAGATGAGTCTTGGGAAGCTACCAGTGATAGGATGGGTGTCAGGTTCCCACAGCAAGCGCCGCCTCAAAACAGAGCTCACACCGGACATGATCAGCCCCCCTCTGGGGGACTTCCGCCACACCATGCATGTGGGCCGTGGCGGGGATGCCTTTGGGGACACTTCCTTCCTGAGGAATCATGGTGGCGAGGATGCCAAGCCCAACAACTTCTTTGCCCGCACACTGCGACATGTGCGGAGGAGCCCGCTAAGGAACCGAGGTAGCCGAAACAAGGATGAGGACTCTCCGATGCCTCCTGCCATCTCACCCATCATCAAGAATGCTGTGTCGTTGCCACAGCTCAATGAGGGGGCCTACCAGAACGATGGGCTTGGGGTAAAGTTTGCCTTCAAGAGCACCCCCAACAGCTTTTCTGACTATGGTAAGTAGCTCGTGGGCATGGCAATGTGGGCTAAATGGGATACCTTGCTTCAGACTTTTTCCTGGGTTTTCTGAGGTAGAAGCACTCACAGAGAGGCATCCACAATTGCTTCTTTGTTAAGTTAAATTTTTAAGGCCGACAAGAACTGTGAATATTTAAAGGTAATGCTCTGCACATGACCTCCTCCAACCCTCTGCTGCATTAATTCTGAGGATTAATGCTTCGCTAATTCTTTTTTCTTGATATTCACTTATTTCACTTATTTTACTACAACCTGTTGCGCTTCCAAATTGGTCCTTTAAGAGTGGGAGGATTGGCTCTTGACTGATTGCAGCGTCCTGTTAAACCAAGAGTGGGATGAAAGCAGAGCTGGATTTCTAGCCTTTAGAGCTCTGGGAGATTTGCAGTAGGTCAGCAAGGATTTCTGACTCCTGCGTCATTTGACAATAACAAAAGTCAGCCGCAACTAAATAACTCCTCTCTCAAGATCAATTATGTTGCTGAAATGAGAGAGGGGTGGGGTGGATTTTTGTGGGGAAGGATTGAAAGCTCGGTTCAGTCTTGACGTTCAAAAAAAATCCCCAGGCTCAGAATTCCTTAATTGTCCTTTGCACCAGGCTCTGGTTGGCGGGTCATGGGATTCTAGTTTTAAAAATAAATCTGATCCCACAAGTCCAAAACTTGCCCACGCCCTTGCCATAACCAATGTCAAATGACATCCTTGTAGAGATATTCTAGGGGCATTGCAGGCAAATGAGTGTGGAAATGTTTAAGTCTACAAGTCTTCTAAGAGAAAGAAACACTGCAAAAAATTTTTAAATACAATGTCTCATCGAAGGTTTTCATGGCTGGAATCACTGGGTTGCTGTGAGTTTTTTGGGCTGTATGGCTATGTTCCAGTAGCATCCCCTCCTGATGTTTCACCTACATCTGTGCCTGGCATCTTCAAAGGTCTCTACTGCAGTGGTTCTCAACCTGTGAAACTCCCCAGATGTTTTGACCTTCAACTACCAGAAATCCTAACAGCTGGTAAAATGGCTAGGATTTCTGGGAGTTGTAGGCCAAAACACCTGGGGACCCATAGGTTGAGAACAACTGTTCTACTGGGTGACCTTGAGTAAGTCACATTCTCTCAGCCTCAGAGCAAGATAATGGCAAATCCCTTCTAAATAAATCTTGCAGAGGTCAAATATGCACAGCAACAGTGATGGAACTGTCCAAGGCTCTTAGGCACACACTATGGGTTGGTGTGTTGCTACAAATCTCAGAATCCCCTAATCAGCATGGAATTGGCAATGCTAACTGGAGGAATCTGGGAGTTATAGTCTAAACAAAGTAGCTTTACCAAGCACTGCTCTGATGTTCTTTCTTTGCCTCTCAGCCAAGTGGTAGTGAGACATCTAAGGACACTCTGTGGATCTCATCTGCTTCTTTGTGATTGCTCTTCTAATAGCCTTTCTCTGGTTTACAACCAAGCGATATTTCTGCCAAGGCATACAGTTCCAAAAGGCACTTGGCATTCTTCTGCCACTCTATAAAAAAGAGTTCAGAAATAGCGACATCCATTTTCTGGCCTGCCCAGTTCTTCACAGAGGCTTTGAAAGATGGGAAATGTGGTTTTAAAAGGCAGAGAAAGAAAGAAAGAAAGAAAGAAAGAAAGAAAGAAAGAAAGAAAGAAAGAAAGAAAGGGGCAGAGTAAATCTTCCCATGCAAAATGTGTTGCTCTAGGTGAGTACAACTGGATTGAAGAAAGTCTTGGAAAGAAAAGATATATTTCAGGAATGACTAATAAATAGTCTGTTTTCTGCAAGTTAAGCCCTGGTCCAGTGCATCATATAGGATGTCATGTATGGCACTTACTGGTGCTGATTTTCATTACACAGTATATATCCAGTGACTTTGCTTGGCTGGTTGCTTGTTACTTTTTCTTCTTATCTATTGCCTAATTGTTTACTTTAGAACAAAGCCCTACCATTTATTGTTCTGCACTGGCGTTTCCTAAGCCACATGACTGGTAAAAAAGCAAGATAAGCTTTGCAATAGGTGGAAATGAGAACGAAACAAAGAAGAGCATCAAGATGGGTTTTGCAAAAGTTCTGAGCAAATGAGATAAGATTAACATTCAAAATTAGAGCCTGACAAAGAAGGGTGGGGCAGATAATAAGCCTGTTAACTTTACATCAAGATGGCAGTTTGCCAGGTGACATTACACTGCCACTTTGAACATTCATCACCACTGGCTCTGCCACCAAAGGCTACTGAGAATTGTAGTTTGGTAACATGCAGAGAACCACAGTTCTGCTGTCCTTGATTTACATTCTAACAATGTGTTCTGCCTTACCCAGCCCTCCTCACCTTGAACAGTGAATATGGGTGAAGAGAGAGGGAGGATCATACTACTATTGTCAAGGGAGAAGCCTACAGGTGTATAAGGACTGAGCCCAGGAGAGGAGTAGGTTCCTTAGTTAACATACCAAGATAGGCACACTGATTGTGTGTCTCAAAGCCTATTCTAACTGTGCTGGATGCAAAATACAGATTGGGAAGAAAAGCTGAAACCATGAGTGCACATTTTCCCCCGTGCTTTTTGTTTGTGAAGCGGCCACTTGTGTATTTGCCACACAAGGTATTTTCTTTGTATAAGGATTTCAGACAAGATGCTTTGTTTGTTACTACTTAATTTAAGAGCAGGGAATTGGTAATCCTCCAGGTGTTGAACGATAACTTCCATCATCCCCTACCTCTGTCTGTGGGTACAACTACACTGTAGAAATAATATAGTTTGGCATGACTAAGTGCCATGGCTCAGTTCTATGGAATCATAGGAGTTGCAATTATACACGTTCTTTAGCTTTCTTCACAAAGAGAACTGGTGCCTTACCAAATTACAACTCCCGTATTTCCATGGCATTGAGCCATGGCAGTTAAATTCATGCCAAGCAGCATTAATTCTGCAGTGTTTATGTATCCTGTGTTGGTTAAGGCTTCTAGGAGTTGAAGGAACATCTGGAGGACTAGTCAGCTTTCCGTGTTCACGGATTCTGCATCCACAAATTCAACCATCCATACCTTGAAAATATTCACCAAAAATATTCCAATAAGCAAACTTTGATTTTGCCATTGTAAATAACAACAACTTTATTTTTATACCCTGCCTCCATCTCCCCAAAGGTTCTTGGGGTGGCTTACATGGGGCCAAATCTACTTAAAACATAACACATTAAAATGCATAACAACAAAGTAATAACAAAAAACAACATAAACCAAGATAAAAATAACAATATTAAACTATATAAAATGGACAACAGAGCCAACAACCAATAGCAAAGTTCAGTGTCTCGTTGTGGGACACTCATTATATAAGGAACTCGTTCACAGGTTTTGGTATCCACAGGAAGTCCTGGAATGAAATCCCAGGAGATACTGAGGGCGCATTGTATATGCCCCCTGTTTTCTAATTCACTCTGAGAAATTTACAACCAGAGAAATACCATAAATAAATACATAATGGAGTGGATCCAGATGTATCCAGGATGCTTAGGATTGTCCTTCTGACAGCAGACAAAGCAGGCCTTCTGCAACTTACTGCCTGTTATAGTCAGAAGTTTTAAAACAGATGTGTTGAACTTTTTCACATTTCATTGCATCTTTATTAGTGTGCTTGAAAAATAATTTTAACTACAGTTTTGACAAAATAATTTCACTTTTATCTCAATATGGATAATAGGTAATGCTTGTTTCTTTGAATCTTTTTTTTTTGTTTATTTTATTTCTATGACACCTTTTCTCTCTCAACAAAGATCCCAAGGTAGCCTACAAAATATGTTGGGAGCTATCTTGGGCTCCTTCTACTCTGCCATATGAAATCCAGATTATCTGCTTTGAACTGGATTATATCGCAGTGTAGACTCATATAATCCAGTTCAAAGCATATAATGTGGATTATCTGCTTTGATAATCTGAATCTTTCTAGAAGATGACTAAACTGAGACTGTCATATTTTGGACACATCATGGGCAGACTAGAAAGGACAATAATGCTAGGTAGGGGGGAGAACAGGAAGAAAAGACCACACCATTGATGGATAGTCAGAGGCGGCCCTAGGTAATTTTCAAGTGTAAGCAAACAATATTTTGGCGCCCCCCCCCCAACCAATCACTGATATATGTTTTCTGTTCGTCGTGGGAGTTCTGTTTGCCATATTTGGTTCAATTCCATCATTGGTGGAGTTCAGAATGCTCTTTGATTGTAGGTGAACTATACATCCCAGTAACTACAACTCGCATATATCAAGGTCTATTTTCCCCCAAAGAGCCCCTGGGCAAAATCAACTATACCGCAAATGCTTACTTTGCGTAATGGGTTGAGCTGCCCCTGTGGATAGTCTAAGTCAAGAAAGTCACTGGGGCACAGCTGTTGAAGATAGTCATTTGGAGGTCTCTCATCCATGGAGTCACCACCAGTTGAAGTCGACTTGATTGCAGTTAACAACAACGTTCCAGAAATATTAGAAATATCTGTTTGTGCAGAGCTGGAATATGTGCCTTGGATATCAAATGCCAAAAAGGCAGCTGTTGGGAAAGAGGATTGTTTTCATTGCTGAAGGAATGTCCAACATGTTTGCCAGAATGGAAAAGAAGGAAGGGTGTTGTAGGACATGGAAGAAAGGGTGATAGTGATGCAGGCCCTAAAGCAGAAAAAAGACAGAGATGGGGATATGAGAGACTGGGCTACTATGGTATGAAGGACTAAACCTAACAACTTAAAGATCTTCTTTGATCCTCCTCAAGTGGGAAGCTCAGAGTTTCCCCTATACTTCTCATTATCAACACAACAGAGAATCTGAACTATGGTCAGTTCAAAACAATGTGTAACCTGAGGTGGATATGGCAAGACCACCACTCTTCAATTCCATACATTTAGAGGTACAGTTGAATTGTACCTCCACTGGAGGACAATTCACACATTGGAGGACAACTGGTTAGTTTAGGGCAATGGTT